ATAACAAAGGTTCATCACATCCTAGCAAATATGAAAAATTAGCCTAACATATTGAAATTACAAGAAATCATATATAAGTGGAAATACATAACCCGAATTTTTGATAAATTGAGAAGATGAAGATAAATCTTGAAATCTTGAATCTCTTCAATGGTTTCTTAATAAATCTCCACTTGCGCTGTCCCTTCTTTGTCCAATACCAAGTTTGAATCTTCACTTGATTGAATTCTTGCAAGTCCCCTTCAATTCTCTCACAAAAACAATGAATTTTCCTCCTTTGATGATGATAATTGATGAATATTGAAGTATATCATGTATAAGAGATATGTATGAGAGCCCCCTTTGTGTATTCTCCTATTGGGTATCTGTAGTGGTCGAAAATTGGTAAAAAATCAGGTCCAAATTGGTTTTCAAAAGAGTTCCAATCGAATAAGGAAAGTTACACTCACGCGCGGATTTTTTATCTTTGTACAGTAGTAAGTATTTTGATCATAACTTTGTCTCCCGATATCCGATTGAATTTATTCAAAATGTGTTGGAAAGCTAACTAAAAGGGTTACAATTTTTCTAGAGTCAGATATTTTCCAATTCGGACGTTTACTATGCCAAAAATTGGTTGCAATATTTGATTAAAAATCTAAAAATATATCATGTAATTGGAAGTCGATTTATGGTAATATTCTGATGATATTCCATTCATTTTTGACTTCTAATTTCATCCAATTGACTTCCATCAATCTTTAAAATATCTTTTATGGTCCAATTCAACCATTGGATAATTGCAATTTGGTCCTCAACTTTGTACTTCGTCATTTTTTGCCCCTTTTCGCTTCTTTCTTTCAGTTTAAGTTCCAAGCATCGAGTTCTACCTAATAAAAGAAATATACAACAAATTAGGCTATAATTGCTTTAAAGAACTATTAAATATCTATATTTTTAGGTCTACAAAAAGTTAATACTTTACTAAGTTGCTTTAATTTCTGACGATGTTGAGAATTAATGGAGGTTTCCTCATTTATGGTTCTAGGTGTGTGTCAACAATCCTTGTGCAGTCGGCGTTTGTTGGTTATTACTTTGTAATGGATTCAGAAATCTAGTTATTGTATCAAACTGGTTCTATAGTTTTCTGTTCTGTGTATGGCAAATTATCCAAGTTCATCATGTCTTAGTACAGATTTCATCTAGACTCTGTAAAACTATGATAGATGCTAATTTTTGTTTTCTACTGACATAACAAAAGTACGATGTTGAAGCCTTTTCTTTTCTCCATAATGTGATATAAGTTGAATATTGATGTTAACCTTATTCCCTTTGTCTTTGTCTCTAACTTCCATTTCTTGTCAACGTGATCCAAACATTATATATGTTTTTATGCCCAATCCTAGGTTCCCGATGTTGCACAAATTGAAAGGAACCATATTCATAAAATCCTTTCATAAAATCATAAATTCCATGTTGAAATCAAAGAGACAATGAAAAGTGCGGAAACATACTTTGATCCATGAATCTGACTGCTTTAATTGGGTTTTGATCTTGATATGTGATTTTCCTTCCTTTGTTTTCTTGAAAAGTCTCTGTTGATGGGGATGCAGAGATACAAAAAAAAATCACATTCAAATTGGGGACCATAACCATTTATTAAAATAACTGCAATTGACAGTTATTAACTTTAAGTTATTTCAAATCGACCCCTCATCAATTCAAAATAACACTTTCTGGTCTCTACACTTTAATCCCATAAAATTTAATACCCATTAGTCCAAAATTAAATCCAATGGATCACTTTATCGACTAAATTTACTTTAAAATAGCATCACACATTCTAATAAATGTACATGTGTGGCCCCCCAAGTTGGAATTTTTTCCAACACCCGATGGCTCCCCGGGGTAGCCTCCCTCATACATAGGCTGACAGGCTAAGATATAAGCACAATGTATTCTGGGTAGGAAGCTTGTAATTATACCTGTATATTGGACACTGTTAGTGCACTTCTCGGTAATTTAGCCTTACACATGCATTTAGCAATCTTACCGTGCCACATGATTGGGGAGTTCGTTGATCCCGTGACCGTAGTTTCCACTAACGATTTTTATCCAAAAACTAGTTTTTATCCAAAAGAAACAAGTATCTTTGTCTTCCTTTCGTTTCTTTTGTGCTGGACCCTTAGGAGCAGCTTCATATTCCTTCTTTCTTGCCCTTATCCTTAAAAGTGCTTGCCAAGTGAGCACTTTCAGTTCTTTCTTGCTTCAACCTTTCTTCCTCTTGCACACAATATGAAATGAGCTCATTTAGAGACCATTTCTTCTTTTGGCAGTTATAACTGACCTTAAATTGACTGAACTATGCAGGAAGCGAGATCAATACCAAATGAACGAGCAAGTCATCAGATAGCTCGAGCTTTAGAACTTTAAGTTTTGAAGCAATATGAGACATCTCCATGATGTACTCCCTTATGTTTCCCTTGCCCTTGTACTTCATTGAAATCAAGCTTTGCAAAAGTGTGCTTGTTTCAGCCTTATCATTTTTCACAAAACGCTTCTCAATTTCGACAAGGAACTCCTTGGCATTAGTTATCCCTTCGGATACTGTACCTCTAAAGGCTTCCGGAATGCCACGCTTAATGATCATTAGACTCATGCGATTTGAGCGACCCCACCTCTCAAAGTTCCTCCTTTCATCAGGAGAACTTTCTTCCGTAAGAGGAGTGGGTTCCTCAACCCGAAGTGCAAGGTCAAGATCCATGCAGCCAAAAACAATCAATATGTTCTCTTTCCAATCCTTAAAGTTTGTTCCATTAAGTATGAGAATTGAATTGACAATAGCAGATATTGTAGTAGCAGATGAACTAGCTGTAGAGAGAACAAAAAGAAACAATTAATTATGCTCATATCCATATTTAATGAACAATAAATTCAAATAATGGTAAGCCCCATCTCAAGATACCTAGTGCAAAATTAATATCAAGTCTTTGGACAGTAATACTAATTGCAAGTGGTACTCTCGGTGTAGTGATCGAACATTGACAATAACTCCTGTCAAATAATAAACCTATCTTTGGATTGATTTATTATTTACATGGAAACCTTATAATTGTCACACATTCACCACCACAAGTATGTATGTAATTTGACCAAGTATTAACCTTCCTTTGGGCCGGCTAATACCCACATGAAGAAATACACACACTACATCTAAACATCCAAATAAACCAATCTACACAAAAGAAGTCACTTTGGCGACATATTGTTTCAATTAGTTTATTCAAAATGTTAGATAACCTTAATTTATTATGAATAAATTATCAAAATATTTGAATTTTATTGTTCCACATAATTAAATCTTAATTATTCCTTTTGAGGGAGTCTTTAGTACCAAAATTTGAGAGAGAGAATCACTAATTTTGCACTATTGACGCCTTTAGAAAGTTTAGGGACCTAAGGGTTAATAATTTAGGGATCAAAATTTGAAATTTTTTTTAAACTTTAAGGGCCAATTTTAATTAATTATGAACTTTGGGGGCGTTAATTGCAAAATTCAAAAGTTTAATGGCCCAGATTAAATAATTTTCCAAAATCTAAGGGCTGAATTATTAAACTCATAACCTTAAGGTCCAACTTGGATGGATAACAAAGTTTAGGGGCTGAAATTTAAAATTTTAATTTAAAAACCCTAATTAGAAATTGCAAGTAAGGACCTGAGATTATAAAAATTGCACCTCAGGCCCCGTCCCCAAAAATCCACCTGGCTGTAGGCATCTCTCTCTCTCTCTCACCATTCACGGCGCTGTTGGCAGTAGCGCCTGGGCTGCTGCCTGCGCCGGCGACGACACCGTCGCCGGCCAGATCCAGTTGCAAATTATTATTTTTTTTAAAACTAAAATCGGAAAATGAAATTTCAAAACTTTAGTTCCAAAACCCTTTTACTAGATCTAGATCTATAACCATAAATAATATGCCAAATAATTCTCAAATTCAACAATAATTAATCCAAATAGTTAAATTTGAAAATCTCAAAAAAAAAAAAAATTTGCAGTAATATAAATTTCACATAAATATCATGGAAGATCCATAAAATAACCCAAAAAATACCAAATTATTGCAATTTCTCAAAGATTTCAACAATGGATGACTCTGATACCACTTGTTGCACAAATTGAAAGGAACCATATTTATAAAATCCTTTCATAAAATCATAAATTCCATGTTGAAATCAAAGAGACAATGAAAAGTGCGTAAACATACATTGATCCATGAATCTGACTGCTTTAATTAGGTTTTGATCTTCCAATTGATACGTGATTTTCCTTTCTTTGTTTTTTTGAAAAGTCTTTGTTGATTGGGATGCAGAGATACCAAAAAAAAAATCACGTTCAAATTGGGGATCATAACCATTTATTAAAATAACTGCAATTGACAGTTATTAACTTTAAGTTATTTAAAATCGGCCCCTAATCAATTCAAAATAACACCTTCTGATCTCTACACTTTAATCCCATAAATTTTAATACCCATTAGTCCAAAATTAAATCCAATGGATCACTTTATCGACTAAATTTACTTTAAAATAGCACCACACATTCTAATAAATGTACATGTGTGGCCCCCCAAGTTGGAATTTTTTCCAACACCCGATGGCTCCCCGGGGTAGCCTCCCTCATACATAGGCTGACAGGCTAAGATATAAGCACAATGTATTCTGGGTAGGAAGCTTGTAATTATACCTGTATATTGGACACTGTTAGTGCACTTCTCGGTAATTTAGCCTTACACATGCATTTAGCAATCTTACCGTGCCACATGATTGGGGAGTTCGTTGATCCCGTGACCGTAGTTTCCACTAACGATTTTTATCCAAAAACTAGTTAATTCAATGTTAAATGATGAACTTACCCATCACCTTACAACCACCTGCGGCTGGCTTCCTGAAAAGGGCTCGGAAGGTAATATATGAGGACATATATGCAATAAAAATGAGTAATATTCAAAAAGAACAAATAAAATTGATGTATGAACTCAACAAGGTTTAATATAAGGACTAAAAGAAGAAGCCTGCGAAAGACGGGAAAGAGCTCTGGCTTCCTTAGACATGAGACTAAAGGAGTACTTAAATTTCCATTTTATGACAAGTTTGACAATATTGTCATTAAACTATTTGCATTTATAAGATCGGCATAAAAATCTTGTAGATTTGACGAACTTGTGCACAAACCACCTTAATAACTCGCAAAAGGAAAAATGAAAAGGGCATGTTCCTGTTAACTCAAGCAGTTGCTCCAACTGGTTCAGCAACCTTGAGTCTGGATGATCCGTATAGTGTTTCTTCAAACCGGATAATCTCATTTTTGGATCCGTAAGCAACTTGGGTCCTGTCGTCAAGATTAGTAACGACCCGGTCAAGTACGGATTGTTTGCCATCGCTGCTATAGCCACCGGCTTTTTCGATCAAGAATCCCAATGGAGCCACTTCAAAGAGTAATCTCAGCTTGGCTTTGGCCGTTGGGGATGTTACATTTGTGAAGATTCCCTTCTCTTTCACAATAATCTGCCAACAACACAAAGGATTCGTAAGGCACAGTTTTGTGTGCAGACTGAGAAGCACGAGATCACTATTATTATGTTTTTATCGAGATAATATGTTAACGTGACTCTCACGTTCAGGGTGAACTATTGTATGTGTATTTGCCCACGACATAATCCCTTACAGGTCACTGAGCCTACATTAATCACTTGATCGCATTCATACAAGATCTTATCGAAGGTCTTATAGAGGAAAGATGTAGAGACCTGGTTAACATCGGGAACCATTCCTCCAGTGTATCGCAAGGTGTATTTCTCTCGAACATAGTAATCAATTAACTGTCAGTGAAAAACATCAGTATGTCAAAATTTATAGATGTATTAAGACTTAATCCACAACAATTCCTGAAGAGGAAATGAGTCAAGAAGAAGGAAGTTTGAGCTTGATGCCGATGAATTTCATTCAATAATTCTTCTCACTACCTCTTCTAAGGGAAAATGTGATCCTTCGAGAGAAGGGTACTTCCTCACCAAGCGTCAAATTTATATGAACATTAATTTTTAACAGCAGAAATAGAATGGCAATTGAAAGTAAAATTCAAGACTGTAGAGAACCTTGGCATATTCAGGATTGTCAAAGGTAGCCCTCAAATTGCCGGGGGAAAACATTTTTCCTTCACCAATCGTTGTTGTATCTTTCACATGTAGCCATTTTCCTGCCAGAAAAATATATCGATGAAAAGGATATATAGAACCTTTGCTGTCAATGGTCGGGACAGTAAATAAAGACTTAACAGTCAAAAAAAAGTAAAATTTGCTCTGAAATTCCAAAAACAGTTTAACTTTTTCTATTAAAAAAAAAAAAAAAATTCGCAAGTGCTTTTGGCATAAAAAATTACTATTAGCCAAATATGTGCTCTGTTAACCTTCATCGAGGAGAAGGAATTCGTGAGTTCCGGGGTTGTCCTTAAGAGAAAGAACGTATGTAGTACGAGGTCCAAAAATCCCCATAGCGGCAGCAACTTGTTCTCTTCCTGTAATCCCTGTAAGCTTGTCTCCAGGCCACACTCCAAATATGGTTCCCACAGTGAAGTTTGTGTCAACAATGCTGGAACCATCAAGTGGATCAAATGCAACACTAAATCCTCCTGTTCAAAAATTTTGAGATGAAACAAGTTTCTAAAGCATCTTTTAGCCTATCTGCAGTTAAATGTAATTTAAAACAAATTAATAGAGACCTTTGGCTGGTCCTCCCATGTCTTGGAGCTCGGGCACTTCTTCAGAGCAAGCATATTTGCAGTAGTGAGAGTACTGCAAGGCCTAGGAATCAATAAATCAAAAGCTCAAATCATGTCAAGATCTTACAAGTTCATATGAATTTATTAGATACAGAAAGTAATAAATATGCATGGAATCGGACAAAAAAGGAAAAAAAGAAAAGAAGTTTAGGTTTGGTATCTGTAGATATCAGTACAAACATAAAGATCTTTGTATATATTATATAATTAATTTCTCCAAAGTTGTACCAAGGAAAAGTTCAAGCAAGTATCGCATCACCAGCAATAATGTGTGAAGAACCTGAATACTGTCTCGTACTGTCCAATCCAACTTACCAAATATACCAAAAAAGCATGCTTTTGAGACAAGAAAATGCAAGAAAAAGTACTATGAGTCCAAGTCCTACCTCAAAGAGAAGCTTATTGGCAAGCATATCAACGGCAAGTTGTTCATCTCCAAAAGAGTTGACACAAGCTGTTCCTCCACAAGAAGCTGTTCTTACTTTGAAGGCAATTGTCCTCAAAGCTTCTCCCATGCACAACATCAGTGTAATCAATCCTTTATCCGGGGTCGCCTTTGTAAGAAATTCTTCCTGCATTCGGAGAGATCATAAGAACAATCAAGCCTTAAACTTGTGTGTTTGATGCACTGGATTGGATGACAGCTGTTTGTCTGTCTTCATTACATCCAATTCGGCGTACCAAACATTTTTCTTCATGGGAGGATTCTGCGAATTTGGGTATTTCTTCCTTCAAATTAAACTGCTTATCAACCAACCATCCGAACTAAGCTAGTTATTCAATTTACTCACCAAACTATCACCAATCTCGCACTTGGTCAAGGGAGAAGAGTTCTTCGTCTTTGTAACTCTAAACGACGATTTTGGAGCAATTCGCAAGGTTTCTCCAAATAGTGAGCTTGTTTTCAGAGTCTGCAATACATTTTGTACTCGTGTCTTTAGATTTTTTCATTCATAAACTAAATCACATGCTATGCTATAGCTGTGGATATGTTACTGAACAAATTATACTCAATTGTTAATTATCGGAGCAAAAAAAAAAAAAAAAAAGTACCCTGGATAATGATGGAGTAATTGAACGAGGTGAGGCCATGGTGGTGGAACGTTGAGAAGAAACTGTGGGCAAGAGTGTTTCATTGGCACAGGAAGCAATACCAGTCTCCATTTCTTCAAGAAATCCCAAGTTAAAATCTTACAAGAACTTGGATTTCTGCTAAAAAGGTCTGTGTTTTTGGGCTTGACAGTAGATAAGCGGTTAACTAGGAGTGCCACGTGGCGTATGCTCAATAGATAGGATGATGATACAGTGGCATGGGATCAAATAAATTTCTATCGCTCACTAATTTCTGGCTCAAATATTAATGATACAAGGGGATATGGTAGTGACTGGCTATTCGTTTCTTGTTTTTATTTGCAATTTGATTTTAAAAGTTCATGTAAACTGCTTGCATACGTAAATGCAGTTATGCAGCAAGTGTTTCACGACAAGAAATTGGAGTTCCAGAAATGAAATAATAATCATAGCTGTTGAAGATTAAATCCGCAAAATGCTTAATTTGTTTTGCTTCTTGTTAATTAGTGTCTCAATTGCAAGGGAAAAATTAAGATTTTTTTTATAAAACTCAGGTATTAATTAAAAAGTCCGTTTCTCTGTAACAATTTCTCTCTCTCTCTCTACTCGCTTTCCCCCTTCGTTGAAAATGAAAGCACTCTATTTCTCTCTAACTATTTCTCTATCTACTCTCTCTACGGCCCAAGACGGAAGCACCATTCTCTCTATATTCCATTTTACTCAATCTCTCCAACAATCACTCTCAACGGCAGCATAGATATGACTCCAAAATAACGATGCCTACTTTTGACGCGTTGTAGCATTTGCTACGACTGACTATATTGCGTACCATTAAAGACGTGAAAAACTAGACTCTAAGTACTTCAAAATGATATTAAGAATATAATATTTTGACCTTGTTTGATAATGACCTCAAAAATTAAGACAAAAATATAAGAAATTTTATGAAGCTATTAATATTTTTCTCCAGGCAAACGACCCCTTTTGCTTTTCTTTTACCGACATGTCATCCTCCTTTTGACTTTTTGTTAGATTTGAAGCAAGTTCTGCATGTGTAGCTTAATTGTACGTGCAAAGGTTTATTTGGATTTGAAAATAAGTTCTGCTGTTTCATCAACGTAGAATCCCTATCAACACTTACATCAGGTGGATCCCATGTATAAAAACTACCCAAAAAACACACATGGGACCCATCGGTATAAAAAATTACCCAAAAAATTCACCCACCTCCCCGTTGTGAGTATTCAGTAAAGGCTCTGCACCCTATACCCCAAGCTCAATTCTTTGATAAGTATATTGTCATAGTTCTATTGTAATAAAAATTGTGTTATACAAAAGAGTAAATAAATATATTTTGGACATAATTCATGACTGGAATATCTGTTGAATTTTAAAAATAAACAAGATAAATGATGCTACCAAAAAAATATACCTTGTAAATCTCGAGAATGAGGACTGACAACAAATACGAATGTGGTGTTCCGGTACCTGAAACAAAGGCAATGAAGTGTATTTTCATCGCCCCTCTGATGTTTAAGTCAAAAAGAGGATTGAAAAAAAATATGTATGCTGAAAATGTGTGAAGAACGTACCTGATTAACGGGTTGATGATCTATATTTATAGAGGTGGGTAGTTCAATCCTATAAGGATTAAACCAATTGGTTGTTCCAATCAAATAAAGTCCTGCTTGAGAGGAATGTCCTATATGTAATAGAATTGTATGGCCAACAGTGTTAGAGTTGACATAGAGTCCTTGAGGGTTTAGACATCTGTTGGATGAACATATGCTCCTCGAGGAAATCTTAAAGAACCATAGCCCGAGGACAATAAACGACAAGTCTCATGGCAGTATAAACTGAGTCCTCGAGTATAGTATCTTGAGGACTCACATACCCCCGAGGACATCCTGTCAGGAAATAGAGGTGAGGCATGTGGGGAGTCCTCGAGTAATATGATCCTCGGGGTATCCAAATTTGGTAATATCACTGGCCACCCTTGCACTCCTCATAGAGTGCAAGCTATGGGACGGAGTGTATCTAAGTTATTAAGCTGTCGTTGTCGATTGTGTCGTCGAGTGAACATAGGCTGACAAGATGGTCAGGATTGATATGAACGTTGTAGAGAGTGACCCCGGATGTGCAACACGTGTCCCCATGAACGGCCATGATGTGACCTTTGGCCTTCTGTCTTTTTCACAAAAAAATATTGTTGTTTACCCCATCTTTTTTCACTTTTACCTACTGTAAATCTACGCTTTGCAAGGTCGTGCTCGAGCAAAATACTTTGGAACTTCTCAAGTCATCGTGTGACTTCTGATAAGGCTCGAGACTCTAGGTTATTCCATAAGCTAAGACTTAGTTTCATTTAAGTAATGTCGAGTAGTAAGGGTAGTCATCGTTCCGGTAGCTCGAGTAGTAGCGAGGACTTAGGAACCTCGATAATACCAACGTCTATTTCCCTAGATGCCAGACCTGGGGCTCAGGTTAATATGGTCTTCAAGTACCCCGATGAACCCTGTAGGTTGAAAGAGCATTTGGCCATAGTTGCAGCTGGGGAGTACGAGCTTATGCCTATGTGGGACATTAGATCCCTGGCCCCGAGGATCAAATTGTACGAGCTCGACAAGAGGAGTTTGTCGTTTTTAAAGAGACCCTTAAAGCTAGCTTTAGGTGGTCCCTACACCCTTCCTTTGTTGCCTTATTGGTCGAGCATGCCATGGGTCCCGGGCAGCTAGTGCCCAATGCATGGAGAATGCTCGTGTATTTCTTCATAGCATGTAGGTACATAGCCATCGAGCCCAATGTCGACCTCTGTAAATTGGTGTTCGAGCTTAAGAAGCTTCCTCGATACACTTACTTTGGTTACCTTTCGACCATATGAGGGCTTAAGATCTCGAGGATGGTGAGTTTTTTGAAAGGATGGAGAAATGGGTGATTTTATGCTATTGCTCAAGAGCCCTATCTTCCTTCCTGGCCTGATTGGGGAATCCCCGACGTCGAGAAGTTTTGTGAGAGCCAGGTGTACCCAGATGTCTTGGAAAAGCATAGGAGGATGCCGGGTGGGGCTCAACCCCCTATTCTTGATCATGAAGGAGATCGAGGAAGAGGTGATAGACCTGGCAAATATTAGAGACGTCGAGGGTTGGGTTGTTTCCTTATTTTTGCAAAATAGCTTGATCAAAAGCTCGTTCTAATGTGTTTGTGTTTTCCATTTTTTAGGTATGTCTTTCGATCCTCGGGCTCTACGTAAATAGCTTGATCAAAAGCTCGTTCTAATGTGTTTGTGTTTTCCATTTTTTAGGTATGACTTTCGATCCTCGAGCTATACGTAACTTTTTTAACACAAGGGTTGATGCTCGACCGCAGGGCCAACCCCTGACGAAGAAAAAGAGCAAGAAAAGGCCTCAAGGTATCCCTCTTGAGCACAGTATGAGGGGTCGTGGTGAAACATTTTGACAACAGCCTCAATCATCGAGCCCAGTGTTGCAACCGACACAGAGGTCTCCCATTCCTCGACCTCCTCCTGAGGTCGTTGATTTCAAGGATGACACTGTTCCTTTGGTGAATTCCCTTACTAAAGACTTCAAGCGCTGTCACCTCGTTCCTGGTCTTGTTTCCAAATATAAGGACAAGATCAAGCTCGAGGACAGAATGAAGGTCCTTGAGTTCCTTATAATGAAGGTATTCCTCGGGTTTTTACCTTGTAAAATTTTTCACTATTTTCCTCGAGAATAATGCTCTTTTCTTTTACAAACTTCGAGTATAGCTCAAGGACTTTCTCTTCAAAAAATTGAGGAGGCCAAGAGGATGGCTGGGGTTGAGAGCTCGAAGGTGTCCAAGGACAGGATAATCCTCAATCTCGAGGCTAAGATCGAGTCTTTGTTGAAAGAGCATGTTGACACTAAAAGGGAGGTTGTGAAAGCACGTGATGACCTTGGGTTGCAAAGGATGAGGCTGAGGAAGTAAGGCTCGAACTCTTGCACAAAACAAAGGAGTTCGAGGACAAGCTCGCAGAGGTGAAAGAAAGGGCCTGGGAGGAATTTAAGACCTCCGAGGAATGCGATAGGACTAAGGGCGAGCATGTGTTGGGGGCTTACCTTCATGCCTTCAAGGAGGCCCAAGCCTTCATCCCCAAGTTACCCGACGTTAGCCTAGATGACTTGATGATGGTGCCTTTTATTGTCGATACTCTCGAGTTTTTGGGTTTGAGGATCGAGAAACTGGCGAGGATGATGTGGGGGATGACCTCGAGGAAGATGATGTTCAGATTGATATCACTAACCTCGACCCTCATCTTAGTCAAATAGGATAGTGTGCCCACCCCAAACTTCTGTAGCTCGAGGACTCCTTTGATTTTGTAATTTTTGGACAAGTTTTTTTACCGATGAGTATAAAATGTTTTGTTAATGAATGATTTTTGTCTTCGCATTCCATATCTATGCAAATTAATTATGCTCAAGCTCGAGTATTGAGACATACTCGAGGCCCCACATATCCCTAGGACATTAACAAAAAATTGATGATTACGCATGTGGTAGTCCTCGAGGACTATTAGATAAAATTAAGCATGTCTTGCTCTATCCATTCTCTTGAGCAGTACTTTAATTTAGAAAATTGTAAAATATTGGATTCGAGGACTAACGTTCTTGTATGTCTCGAGCACAATACTCGTGTGTTTTGTCTCGAGGATTGAAGGAGCCATTTGGCTCACCACATTCCGAGGACATGGAAGGCTTTTCGAGGACTCGAAGGGCCATATAGGAAAACCATATCTCAAGGACATAGTGGAGCGTTTGGCACAAAATATCTCGACGAAGTTACCCCCGAGCCTTGCTTATAGAATTTGTTTATAGGTTAGGTGTTGATGTGCTCGGGCATGTGGTAAGGTCAGGCTTTTTTCTTGGTGGTATTTTGCAGGGCAAGACTTAGAGTGTTTGCATGGGGTAAGGCTTTAAGTGCTTGTGCGAAGTAAGGCTTCGAGGTGCTTGCGCGGAGCAAGGCTTAGAGTGCTTGCACAGAGCAAGGTTTTAAGGTGTTTGCACGGAGCAAGACTTAATGTGCAGCAAGTCTTAGTGTGCTGGCACAGGGCAAGGCTTAGTGTGTTTGCACGGGACAAGGTTTTGAGGTGCTTGCGCTAAGCAAGGCTTACAGCGCTTGTGCGGGGTAAGGCTTTGAAGAGTTCGTGTCTCTAGATTTAGCTTTTAATA